GGGAAATCAAGGCTCCCAGGGAGTTAGCAAACTTGCCCAAGCCTCAGGGAGGATCAGTGCCTTGAAGAGAGGTGTGCTTGTGCCAAAGCCTGTGTGTCCACGTCAGGCACCGTGTTGGGTGCCGGGGAGGATTCGTGGGGCCTTCCACCCAAACCAAACCACCTCACGGGAGTGGGAATGGGCCAGGTGGAATTAACACACCACAGCGGTAGATGGGTTGGTTTTCTCTCTACCCCCGCCCTGCAACCGCCTGAACATGATTGAGGGAGTCAATATGTAGCAAGCGGTCAGTCTCTACTCAAGCAAAGCAAGTCTGATGGGTAGAGCCTTCAAACCGTGGGGACAATCAATAAGGAGCCATGTGTTCATTCGTCCCCAGAGGCCGTCGGGTGCCAGAGGTTTCCATGTGGCTTTACAAATACGGTTACAGGCTGGCTCTTCCGGGCTGCCCACAGGAGCTGGAGCCAAAGAGAAAGTAGCCCCACCAGGCCCTGCCGGAAGCACGTGGACCCTGGCACCTCGGTTTCCTTGTCTGCAGAGTGCAGGTGCTTGTAGGACGACCAGCTGTCTCCGTGACCACGTTCGGAATGTGGGGGTGGAGGGGGCGGTTTCCTGGGACACGGGGCGTTCAGAACTAAAACAGGGTCAGTCCTGGCCCCTGACCTTGGGACAATGGAATAGAATGCTGCACCACCTCTTATAGGACCATGTGATCCACCGTGTTTTCATTGGCCGATTTCCAGAAGTGAATTGGCCGTCTGGTGGTTCTGTGTTGGGTTGCGATCCGCATGGTCGGCAGTTCGGAACCAACAGCAGCTCCATGCTTGAAAAACCAGACTTTCCACTCCTCTAACCAAACAATTGCATTCCTGGAAACTCACAGGGGCGGGGCTGGGGGTCACTATGAGTCGGCATTAACTCATTGACGGCAAGTTTGGCTTGGTCTCCATTAAGGACGTTCCGCTAAAACCTGTTCAATATCGTGACCCACGCAAGCCTCCACCCATGGCGGCGATGGTGCTTGACATGCTTTGAACAGGCATCGAACCCACGATTCCTACACAGAAGGCAGGGGTTCTAGCACTGAACCACTATTGCCCCCCTAAGAAGCTTCGCCGGGCGCCTGGTTCCTGGCCGGCACTTAACACACCTCCCCTAAGCCTTACACACATTCGCCCAGTTGAAGAGCAAGAGCCAAGATCGTTTCCCACTACAAGTGGGCATGTGTTTGGCTTGGCTGCCCTCATTAGTACCGCGAGGCTCGTGAGCTCCTTCTGGTGAGCGGGGTGTGGAAACACTGAGCGCTCGCTCGAGGTCACTGAAAGACCAACCCCCTGCAAGGAGCAGGAAAGGAGAGAACAGCTATTTCTCCTGCAGATATTTGGGCCTCACGTGGTTTCAAAGGCTTGGGGCCCCAAAGATGTTTCCAATTGTCTTCCCCCCTCTCGGGGGCAGAAGGAGCAAGAATCCGGATAGCAG